CTTCTAGATATCAAAATACAGCCCTAATATGGCCCAAATCCTCCGTAAATACATGAAAGATTATAACATGCAGTATCTTCGTATCCCTCTCTTACTGTACAACATTGTTTGGATGTGAGAATGTACTTTCTATATAAGCCATTTAAATCATGGCAGAAAGTAATATTTTTCTATCTGGAGCAATGCTTTTTAACCTTCTTTGGGGACAGAGACAACTTTGCAAATGTAATGAAAGCTATAGGCACTCAACAAAAATGGAAGTTTACAAATAATTGCATACTGTGGCATTATATATTAAGATTTTAAGAATCTTTAAGTCCATCCTTAGACCTCAGTCACAAACCCCTGATCTGTAGAGGTTTTGTATTTTCTCTGTCTGCTGCTTTAGCCCCTTAGGAAAAAAAAAAAAAAGAAACTATGTTTCATAGTGTTAAGAACAAGACCTTCCTTGGTTTAAAAATGGCAGCTATAATTTTAGTTATTGATCTTGTTTAATGTGCCTGGAAGCTAGAAGCAATGGAAAAATGATACAAGAACAAAAGTTACACCTATAAAAAGTCTTCTGTTTTTTAGAAAACTTTATGTTTTGCAAAATGCAGTTTAAAACATATCCCAACATGATGCTTTTATTCAAAAGAAATATTAATGGACTTACCAGTTCATTATTCAGATGCAAATTGGGTTATGCATTATTAGAGAAGTTAATTTTCATATCATGGGAATACATTATTTCCCAATAAAGTCATCTATCAATTTATTTTTTTAGTAAAATAACTTGAGAATTTAGAAGTGAAACTTCTTTTTATGAATCTCCACTAACTATCCCCACCAAAATAGGACTGTCTACATAAACTTAAGAAACATTTACCAAAAAACTGAGAAAGGTTGAGTTGTAAGTCATTTAAATAGCTTTATAATGTTGTCTACTTTTTAATTATATTTACTGAAAAATTCAGAAAATGCAGAGGCACAAAATAATAAAGATAATTATCTACAATTCTATCATCTAGAGATAACAATTGTAAACATTTGATATATATCAGTTAAGGTATTTAATGTATCAATATAAAGATATTAAGAGAGAGAACACAAGTATGGAAAATAATGCAGAATGTTGTTTTGAACCTGAATTTTAAATTTCTTTAAAAATGTCCAAAATTTAATACATGCTCACTTTTATCATTGAAAATCGACAGGGAAGATTGAAAAAAAAGTTAATACATCTTCTATCATTTTTATTCCACCTCTTCTCTGAACAGCCTTGTGTTCACACTTGTACATCTTTCTCTGAACTGACGCCAACAGTAAAACAATTGAACACACTTAAAAAATTATTTTCACTTCATAAAAATTGATTTTAACATACGTTTTTCACCTGCTACTTTTCTTTTCATCTTAAGAATTCTTACAGGTTAAGATATGTAGATATTACTAATTTTTTAACAATATGTTAAAACTTAGAGTTGGTTGAATATATATATATATAATATATGCACAAGCATATGTACACATACATAGACACATACACTACATACATATACATACACACACATATATTGATCTAAAGTTGGTGACCATGAAAGAAGATTCCAGTTAGGAGTTACTAAAAAGTGCTACATTAAACTTCTTTAAATATATCCTTAAGAAAATATTTATTTAAAGTAGATTTCTAGGAAGTGGGTTTCTGGATAAAGTATTTCATGCATTCTTTGTTTATTTTACCAAATAAGTATTGCCAGATTACTTATTTCCCATTTTTAAAGGTTTTACATTTCCTCGAGTTATGAATTAAAGTATCTCCCAGTCCCACAGGTTAGAGTACTTTAATATTTGCAATCTGATGGATGAATAAACATGTGTGCCATGTACACCTCTGCGTCTTCTAGGGTGGGTGAGCATTTTTCTTCTGTGTGTGGTTCATTTAGTTCGTCTCTTCTGGAAATTTTCAAAAATATGTTTGTCATTTTTTAATAATCATTTACTTTTGTTGTTTTTATTTTTTAGGTCAAATTATTGGTGTTTATGAGATATTTTAGATACAGAGAAAATTTTATCACTTTATTTTTATATCATTGTGTTTATTTCCTTTTTTCCATTTATCAAGTTCTCATTTCTATAATATTACATTTATAATTTGAACTAAGAAAAGCTACATAAATCTTTTTTCTTTCCTAGTTCTAGAGCATAAACATTTCCAAATATTTTAATTCTATCTTCCTGCTGCTCTCTTTGTAGTTACTGTTGTAAAATTACTTTAAATTTGGTGAGGAGGCTGCCTCTCTTGCTCCCTCATCTTTGGAGATGGCCAGCACTCTATCTACTTTTACTTTAATCTGAGTACCCAGTGCCCACACTTTGTGGCCTTTCTCTTGCCCTTTGAAACAGCCTACACTCTATGCACTATGTATCTGTAAATAAATCTACCTTTACTCAAAAAAAAAAATTGGTGGAGAGGATATAGCTCAGTGGTAGAGCGCATGCTTAGCATGCAAGAGGTCCTGGGTTCAATCCCCTGTACCTCCATTAAAAATAAATTAAAAAATAAGCCTAATTACCTGCCCTGCAAAATGTTTTGAATTTATCTTGTCTTAAAGGCATTCTATATATCAATAAATGTTATTTATATTTACTAATCTTCTTTATCAACTTCTATGCATATCTTCTCTTTGGATTCAATATTATTCTAGCTTAAATTCATCTTTTAGTAATTTGTTTCACATGATGCCTAAAATTATCATGTGTTCCATCCTCACTCTGTATTGTTATTTTAAGTAAATATACAATTCTAGTTTGAAAGTTACTTTTCCTGAGCATTTTGAAGACAACCATAGTTATAGAACAGAATGGAAATGTTATAAACATTAATAATTTTTAAATTAATTCAACTAAAATAAGTGGGTGTATAGAGTATTGAAAATTGAATAGTTTCTTAAAAATATTAAGGAATCTCATGAGATCAATTAATGAAAGAAAGCCTTAAGAATGTTAAAGTCATGGAGGATTTGTGCATTCATAATTTATTAGGTAACTCAGATGAAGTCTTATACTTAAAAAACAATTAGAAAATCTGGAAAAAATACATAGGAAATATCTGCTTGGAATTACCAATAGCTAATAAGATGATGAAGAAGGATTTGGAGGAGAGAGTTTAATGAAGTACACCAAATTTTGAGCAGTGATATAAAATATAAATATGTATCTAGACGTGTGTGCTCCTTCAGTTAAGACTCATCTCTTCTCTCAATTCTGAAAATTTGCAGCCATTGTCACTTATGTGTCACCTCACTCCCATTCTCTTTGGTTTCTTCTAAAAATCCTAGTACATATACGGTGAATGATCTCCATTCATCTTCAATATCTTTTAAACCTCCCACTTATTTCCATTCCTTCTATATTTTATATATTTTACTCTGAATGATTTTCTCATATTTTGTCCATGTCATGAATTCTTTCTTTAGTTTTAATCTGCTAATTAGTGTGTTCATTGTGTTTTTCTATCAATAACTTTATTTTTTACTTACAGAAGTTTAATTAATTTTTTTCTTCTACAGACTGTCTCTTTTTGCTTCCATAATGTTATGCTCTGGTTTTATGGTCTAAATATATTAAATTTGTACTTCTTTTAGGGTGTTCAGTCTTTTTTCTAGTTGACTTTCCCTCATAGGGGTTTGCTTACTTGTGTGGTTTGCAACTTCTTATTGTGATTTTGTTATCAGCAGGGATTGTCTTCTGTGGAAGTTCCTTTTCTCCTAAATTCATACATAAAGTTTTAAATTTGAACTTTCCTGGATCCTAGTTTTTTGTTTTGTTTTGTTTTGTTTTCAGTTGTGTACCAGGCTTTCCATTAGCTTTAGGTCCTGCACTATGTGTGAATGTACACTCTGCACCCACACAAGTTGTAGACCTAGAATCCTGACTTTATGACAAGTCTACCCAGTTCCACAGTAGATAAGTGGGTGGGGTTTTGTTGTCTCCATTTCACGTGAGGGGCGACCCTCCAAGGTCCTAGGCTTTTGGCAAAAGGGCTCAATTCCTGTTCTTCACCTTGTATGGACTTGAGTCACATCTTCTTTTCCCATATGCATAAGAAGACCCAGAACTCAACCTCCTCAGGCCTTCATCCTCGTTTGATATCCCTGTGGACCACTTTGACTTCAGCAATAACTGTTTAAATTCTCTATTTGTTTCTGAACTTCCAGATTCACTCTCAGCTATATGGTCAACGAAAAAGAAAACTATTCAGTCTTTCTATGGATTTGAAGTGGAAGATGGAGGTCGTCCCATATTGTCATTAGATGGCCGTAGTGACCTGATGTTTCCTCTGAGCTTCTCAATCTTATATATATTTCTAAACTTTTGTTGTTGTTGTTGTTGTTACATTTCCTCTAGTTTTTCCAGGCAAACATGAATATAGATCTTCTATGTCAGTATACACATTCTCACTACATCCTAATAAACTTAGAATATGTAGTCTAGTGGTACTATTTTTGCCTTGCTTAATATTTACTTGTAATATAATAAACTAGGAGACCCTATGTGAATACATACATATGCCAGTGATTTTTACATTAACACTATACTGAGTTTCATTATTACTAATATCATATGAGTATCATAAAATACACAGAAGACAGACCATGGATATAAGTGCACCATTATCCTCATTTCTTCAACAAATATTTATAGAATGGCTACTCTATATCAAGCATTATTTCACATCTTAGAATGAATCAGTCAATAAAACAGAAGATCTACTCTTATAACTTATTTTCTTCATGCTAGTGAAAAAAAATTTTTTTTCTTGCTTTGGAAAAGTGACATTTGGGAGAAGTACGACATCCATGCAAGACTGCTCAGATCCCTGAGCAGTCTTTCAAAGACCTGGAGTAGAACCTACAATTCTGCCTTTTGCAGACTCTCCTAGATTGACTATCACTGGTATTTTTATGTTAATGACATGAATGACAATGACATGTAAGATGCCTTTGGTGCTTTTACAGCTTGGACAATGGAGTACCTTTGGAACCCTGGAAGTTACAGCTAAGATTGAATCAGAAACAAAGGCATACTCAGTGGTGACAGAGGAAGATTGTGAAATTCTTAAAATCCCTGCAAAGAATTGTGCAAAGTTAAAATCGGTATGACCATATTTAATTTATATACTAACACAGTATGGATGTAAATTAACACAGTTTTGCCTCTGTAGAAAGATGTCCATATCACTTTTATGCTTTAATTTGGCTTGAACTGGAGACCATTAATATATGGTTTATTTGATGAACATCATTTAAGCTTTTCATGAGTAGTTGAAGTGGAGAGAAAAGTCTCTGTGAATATAATTTATTAAATGTTTGAGTGCTTTGGTTTTTCATGAATTTAAGATTCACTCAATCATTTATTTGTTCATTCAACAAATACATGTTTTGGTTGTCAGCAGTATATCATGTGTTAGGGATACCGAACAATCAGAGAAGCAGATCTCTA